AAATCACTTTCTCTGACAAGAAAATGGTTTTAAAAAACATTCAAAAGGGAAACCAGTGGCCGGGGAGTAAAGGATCTAATTTTGGCTTGGGTAGAGAAGGCAAGGGGATAGCTTTGTCTGGCAAGCTAGAATGTGGAACCCCCATTTTGAAAAAAAGGAAAAGCCAAAGTGTATTTTCGACCCTTCCTCGGTCCTTTTCAGAAGGCATTTAATTTCGCTTGTTTGGGTGGCAGGACTCCTTCCAGACAAAACAATAGTATCAGTCCACACCAAGCAGATTAATTACTGCTCTAAGTAATTAAGTACCTACCCACTTGACTTTCCATGTACCTCATTTCCCTTGCCATTTGACATCTCAAACTTCGCCCACTGCTTAGATGGTTGGCACGGCTCCTCTGAGCCCCAGGAGTTCCCAGTCGAGATGCCGCCCACTCTGCACCTCTGGGAAACCCAGTGAAACGGGGCTGTGAAGCAGAAACCGAAGCCGGGGCAAGCGTGGGAGTGCACAGCTGGCCACATAAGCGCATCTGCTTAGAAAGTTGGAGGGTGTCTTCTCTCACCCAGGCACCTCAAAAGCTTTTTTTAAAAAATGTGATGGGAAAAACTCTCCAGCACTTTACTGGAGAGTAGTAAACCTCAGTGGATTTAACTATAAATAAAATCCATCCATTTGGGTCGCAGCGTGCTCGCCCTTTCAATGCCAGTGCGCTCTTCCCCTGAGCCACATACGTTCATGTGTTCAGCTCTCTCGAATTCGGTCAACGTGTCTTTCTCACCTTTGCAACTGGGCTGAACTGCAGCTGTTACCTGAAATCCACCAGCTTTCTAAAATCAGCAGTGAATTAAGGATTTCGAATGTTTTCGTTAGTCGTGGGAGTGGGATAAGTACTTTGGGTTCCTTTGGATGGGTGGCAGGTTTTCCTACAGATTTCAGGGGTGTGTGTATGTGTGTGTGTGTGTGTAATTGCCCATCTTAGCGCTCTGATGAACTGTGGGCTTAAGCCTCGATCTAAACAATGACTCAGTTTTGAAATCGTTGAGAAAGAGCTGCATTTGCTGAATTCACCCTTAAAATCAAGGGATGTCCATTGAAGCTTCAGCTGGATGTTCTTCTGCCACCTGGACCAGAATGAAATACCCCGACTTCAGGGCCATTTACTTTCCTAGTAAATATTACTAACCTTGCTCAAACTCCTTCAAACCTATGCCTAACTTTCAGAGGTGAGGCGGGCTAATTCACCAAGGGTTGCTTTTCAGATTCCTAGAAAATCGTCATAACGGAGATGTTGATAAATCATTCCCTTTATTATGTTTATGCCCAAATTTGGGAAGATGGACTTTTGCCTTTTCTCTCTCCCAGAACAATACATTTTTAGCGTCTTCCCTCTGCCATTGTCAGTTTAATTCTTTGGAAAATGGGCAGAAGTCGGCAGCGGCAATCCCTTCCCTCTGGTTGTCAAACTGATAGAACAGAGGTGTCCAAAGTCACCAGGAGCCGAGATGAGGTGGGTTGGAAGAAGGTTTTCGTTTAGTCAATGGCAGAAGATAAAGCCTTGCCACTCCTTCCTTCCAGAAAACGTGAATACATATTCTTTTTCAATAATTATTCTGGGATCTGAAGTTTCACCCAGAGGACTTCCAAGAATTATTCAAGGTAATATCTTGAGAATATCTGTAGGACACCATTCAGAGAGTTATCCAGTTTACTGTGCCAATATGACAGTAACAAAGGTGGTTTTTATGGTGTCACAAGGATGACTGAGGCATTTTATTTTTTTTTTACTAACTGCTGCAAAGTGAAAAATGAAATTGATGGCTTCTTGTAGGTAATTCTGGAAAGAACACTAGGCATAATTCTGAAAAGAGTTTAATCGCACTGAAGACTGATCTACACATCTTTCCTCTGAAGTATTCTTCACAGAATTCAGTGGGTCTTGCTCCCAGTGAAGAAATGTGCCCCTACAGTTGCCTTGAAGTGTATTTAAGAATGATAACAGAGATGAAGGAGAGAGGAGGGAGGGAAGAAGAGGGAAAGGATGCCTCTTACGTGACAGGAAATAATCTCAACTCCATTCAATAAATTATACAATAAATGGAAGTTAGAGAGTTTAAGCCATATGACTTCTGTCCCATTCAGAAGAATGGAAATCTGAGCTCTAATTGTCTCTCAGTGAGGACTGTAAGGTGAAGGATTGACTTGATAAAGTATGACAATATCCAAACAAAATTATGAAGGATTTGATAGCAACCCACCACCATCAAACTGCGAATGATTTATAATGGTAGGAGATGTCTTTTGAGTTCTGAATATTCGTTGTGGATTTTTGAAAGGGTTGGTTTCACTATGGCTGCTTCTGCCTTGGGGTTGCCCTGAAGAAGCCCACTGCAGTAACCAATGTTCCTGTGTTTTCTTCCCAGCTGTTCAGTCTTTATGAAAGAATCCGTTAGGACTGAAGCAGCTAATAAAGATTGTAAAACAAATAAAAACATGACTCCCTGATTATTGTTTCAGCAGTCATTCAACTGCTAATTGCAAAGGACATTTAAGTCTCTCTGATGTTCCTTAAAGAAGCCACAATGTAGCTAACGCAAAATGTTTGGACTTTTTAAAAATGCACAATGACTAGGCAAGACTTGCTTTATGCTTGTGACTCTATATGCTCAATATAAAATCTTGTCTTTTTTTCAATTGAGCAAATGTCATTTATTTCCGCCTGGGCTTTAGGGCATTCATTTGCACAAATCTTGTTGAAATTAACAAGTAGAAGTAGCATGTTCATATTCAAATATTATAAAGGTGGGAAAGGGCAAAAGTTGTGGATGAAACATTTATGCCTCCATTGTCCACACATCTTAATAACGGTCCCGAACTGTAAGATTTGAAGCTAATTTGTAAAATAAACATATCATAAACGTCTTCTGTGATTAACATCAATTCGACACTGTCCCCGTGTTAGAGAAGCATGTTGTTTTCCTAGTATTTCTGTTTCAGCCCATTGTAGCCAATCCTGTTTCTGTACAGGACAATGGTCCGGCTTGACGGAAATCTGGTTTTACAATGAAGATACTTTAAAGAAGTAACAGTAGGGTTTGCAGGGAGAAAAAATAATTAAAAAAAAGATCTAAAACCCAAAGGCAATAATTTAGGCTACCTGTACAAAATTGTGCAAACTTTGCGTTGCAGAGAG